TTCGCCTCCTTCATCGACAAGGTGAGAGCTCGCTGCTGGTTTTCGGCCGCCTCGGGGAAAAAAACTTCAGGAAGAAGCTTCCCTTGGATCCGGGGACTTGCCTGGACGGATCCCGGCCGGCAAACGGCGGGGCTTGGCTGGAAACTAAAGACCCGTCTGATGTCTCCTCTCGGCGAGGATGAGCTCCTCAGCACCTTCCTTTCATTGGCACAGTAATTCCCCCTTCTCCCCGTAAAACACGGCCCCGGGGGTTGGATGGACCTTCTCCTGGTTGTAAAATTCCAGCAATGGAATAACACCAGCTCTGCGGTGGGATAACACCAGTAAGGTGGGCTGAGCGTCCGCTGAGGGGAGAAACACCTAAAATGGCAAATACGGGTGTTTGGCCTGATCTAAACTCCGCAAAAGTTCCCCCTAAACATCTCCAGGGGCTTCTGGTGCTTCTGAGAACCCGAAATAAGGATGTTCTCAATAATTTTGGCCAGATTGTCCCCGTGTCCCTTGACCTTCCAAGGCCACCAGAGGTGTTGACGATCCCACCTTTTCCCGGCCGTCGAGCTGGGGGGTGTTTTGGTGCCTTGGGTTTCAACAACACGTCCCCATGATGGGTGTTTTGTTTTTTGTCCCTCGCCAGGTTCGCTTTTTGGAGCAGCAGAACAAGGTGCTGGAGACCAAGTGGAGCCTCCTCCAGGAGCAGGGGCACACGGTCACCAGGAAGTCCCTGGAGCCCCTGTTCGAAGCCTACATCGGCAACCTGCGGAGGCAGCTCGACAGCCTGGTGGGCGAGCGGGGCCGCCTGGACTCCGAGCTCAGGAACATGCAGGACATGGTGGAGGACTTCAAGAACAAGTAAGGGATCGTGTGGGGCAGCAGGAACAACCCCGGGCGGGCGGTTCCCTCCCTCCTGCCCGTTTCACACCTCGGCTTCGCGCCGGGTTTTCCTCTTCCCTGGGCTCAGGGTTGATAAATCCAACCCCTGGTCAGGCAGATTTGTTAAGTGCCAGGTCAGGGTCTGACCCCTGGAGTGTCCCAAAACAACACTCCTGGGCACAGAGAAATGAGTAAATCAGGGGGATGAGGGGCAGGCAGGGAGGGAGTGGAACGTAGCCACGAAATTCCAGCTCCCAAATGCCCCCAGTTCTCACTCTGTGAAGGAAATTCCGTCTTTTCCAGAGGGCCCAGCGAGCTGGGAAAGCTCAGCCTCGCTCAGCTCCCTCCACCTGAGAGGTGTTCAGCTCTTGGACTAAAAAATATCCCTGGGGAGGAAATTCAGCCCCTCCTGGGACATACTGGCCAGAGGGGGGGATGAACCAGTTTCAGGACAC